CAGGGGAGGGGGTGAGAAGGGGTGGAGTGGGAGCAGGGCCTGTGACAGAGCCAGGGGTTGAGCAGTGAGCACCCCCCGGCACATTGGAAAGTTGGCGCCTGTAGCTCCAGCCCCGGAGTCGGTGCCTAGACAAGGAGCCGCAGATTAACCTCTGAAGAGCCACATGTGGCTCCGAGCCCCAGGTTGGCCACCCCTGGTCTAGATAATACTGAGTCCTGCCTCACTGCAAGAGGCTACACTGGGTGACCTATCGAGTCCCGTCCAGTCCTACATTTCTATGAATCTCTCTCTGGGCCTGCAGGTGCAACCCATAAAGCCACTGCCTTGTCTTCCATCCCATTCCTTCTCAGCAGCGACCTCTGCGGAGACGCCTCCCAGAGCAGCCTGCGTGTAAGGGCCAGGCGGCAGAGCCCCGGGGCAGGCAGGAGTGGTGCATGTATGTACAGAGCGGATTCATCCCTCTACAGCTGGCTCATCGTCACAGGCCTCGTTTGCGCACCGAGCTCCCGGCAGACACAGCCCCCCCGGAGTCCATAAGGGTCCAGCAACACAAGGCGCAGTGCAGGATTGGGCCCTTCAGTTGGGAGCGCTTCAGGGCAGGGACCACCTCTGCTTCTGGGTCTGCAGCACCCAACAGAACGGGGCCCTGATCCTGCTGGGGGCATCAAGGCGTTGTGTGCTACAAACAATAGTCAATACTGTCATCCCTCGAGCTGTAGCCCATGTCAGGGCCTACCCGGTCAGTTCCCCACAGGAATGTGGGTCTAACTGCTTTATGTGCACGGCATCCCCCAGTCCTGGAACAGAGGTGGGCACCAACAGCACACAAACAACCCCCTCATCCAGCATTCTCAACCCAAACAAACACTCGTCCCCAGTTCCCACAGAACTCTGCCCTAAGACATAACAATCATCTGAGAGATGAAAGCAGAGCAAACTCCCTTGCTGTTTGCAACAGCTCCCCCACGTAAGAGACTACATCCCAACTCAACAATGCAGCATTTCCTCCTGTTAGGGAAAGGAGCTTGTACTAAGACTCTGTAATGGTGCCACTTGGTGATGCCAGCTGTAAAAAGAGCACACTCATTATCATGCAATAGTGTACACGCTGACAGCGAATAATCGTTTTACAGTGTATAATCTAAACCCTGAAGGCAACACATGCAAAAATGGGTTAGGACTTCAAGCTAGGGGGAGGTTTTCCAAGGGCTGTGCTGGATTCACCATCAGTAGCTACTTAGAAATCAAGATTGGATGTTTTTCTAGAAGATCTGCTCGAGTTCAAACAGGAATCGTTGTGGGGAAGCTCTGTGGCCTGGACTATGCAGGAGGCCAGGCTAGATGATCACCATGGCCCCTTCTGGCTTTAGAAACTATGCACAGCTCAGCGTGAAAACATCAGGAAATGCCATGACAGGGGTGTGCCCCTGCAACCTTAACTCTGCCCCATTGGGCACTTGCATCACAAAATGATAAGAACATAAGAACGCCATATAGGGTCCGACCGATGGTCCATCTAGCCCAGTGTCCTGTCCTCCAACAGTGGCCAGTGCCAGGTGCCCCAGAGGGAATGAACAGAACAGGGAATCATCAAGTGATCCATCCCCTGTCGCCCATCCCCAGCTTCTGGCAAACAGAGTCTAGGGACACTCAGAGCATGGGGTTGTATCTCTGACTGTCTTGGTGAATAGCTATTGATGGACCTAAACTCCAGGAACTTACCTAGGTGTTTTGGTTTTTTAACCCTTGATCTTCCATTACATGCTGTTACTCAAATACCATACACTGATTTTTTCAAACACCTATAGATAAACCCATCGCATTTTGTAAATAACCTTGAGAAAGAGACTGAGACTGGAAATTTTCAGCCCAAAAGAGCAGATCTCGAAACAGAACCTGTCAAAAAACAAAAATCAAATTATTTTCATTTCAAAATGAAATGCAAAGTTTTGAAATGTTTTTTGTTGTTGTTCTGGTTTGGATTTGGTTTGTTTGTCTTCAAGTGTCCAAATAGGCTGTTTTTCGTTTTATCACCATTTTATTTTTTAAATATTTTTATTAAATTAGAAGCATTCTGGAAAGGATTATGGGCATTTTTCTTTTACCAAAAATCTGATTTCCAAAAAATGAAACATTTCGATAACTATTTATTTTTAAAACGTTTTAAAAAGCACTAGGTTTTTAATGAAAGAAAAAAACATTTTTGATATTTGTTGATACATTTTTGTGAAAAATTTGGTTTAAAAAAAAAAAGCCCATTTTTTTAGTAACAAACTTCCCCTTCGATAAATGCCACCGGCTCTAGCTATGCATGACTGGAAGCGTGACTGGAAAGGGGCTGAGAATGGAAAACATTACAGAACCTTAACTCTAGCAGGCTCTGCTGCTGTGGCTGTAATGACAGGGGCCATCAGCTGAGCCGCCCTAATCTCTGAGATGCGCAAAGCCCCCTGAACATGCCAAATGCCAACAGCCTCTTGCAACAAAAAGCAGGCGCTGGAGCGATCTCAGATTGGTCACAGAGGGGACCCTGTGGCCTGGGATTCATTCAGGCCGAGAGCAATCCTGAGCTACCAAAACAGCTGGCTCTTCCCGGTTATCACCGAAGCCCCATGGCTCACATCAGCAGCTGATGTTCACCTCAGACACGCGGCCCAACGCCGCCACGTTAAGACGTCGCCCCTTCCTCATCTCTGCAGGAGAAACACCAGCATCCCAGCCAGGGGGCATTGTCCAGCTCCCCAGCTATTGATGGTGAATTAGCGTGGTAGGGTGACCAGACAGCAAGTGTGAAAAAATCGGGACAGGGGTGGGGGGTAATAGGAGCCTATATAAGAAAAAGACCCCAAAATCGGGACTGTCCCTATAAAATCGGGACATCTGGTCACCCTAGCTAGTGGGTCGTTTACCCCATTCCTGAGCTCAGGGAACTGCCGGCCACAGGGCCTGGAGCGCGACCCGCTGCCCTGCCTCATCCAGGCTTGGGGGGAAGATCTGGCAGGGGCACTGAGGTGCTGTGGTGAGCGAGGCCGGTGAATCAGGAGGCGGCCGGTGAACCAGGGCTCCGTCAGGCTTACAGACGGGATGCCAGCCCCCGGCGCTCAGATAACACGGTGCAGAGGGTAGGGATGTAAAACTGTAACCGGTTCACCAGTAAGCGTTAGTCTTACCATGAACCCAGCTTAATCGTTAACCCCCAGCCCCAGCCCCGCCAGCCAGCCGACCCCAGCCCCGTGGCCTGCGCCAGCCGACCCCAGCCGCAGCCCCGCACCTGCTGGCCCCTCTCCCTTTCATCGGTTATCCGGTTACATGATATAATACTTTTAAACGATAGTTACAGCCCTCGCTGAGGGCCGCGGGAGCACCCCGATAGCTGGGTGGTACCAGGGCTTGCGACACCAGCGCGATGGAAGCAGCACCTGGCCACACGCGGATGGGCTGGGCGAGCGGGCGGAAGGGAGCCAGAGCCAGGGGGGAATAGAGGAGAGGTGGAGGCTGCACACCAGGAACTCCCCGGTGTGGCTTTTCCCGCTTCACTCCCGTCAGCACACAGGGCAGGGGGCCAGGCGCTGGGGAGAGAGATTCCACAGCCCTGGGGACTTCCAGGCTGGGGCGGGGAGCGTGGCCTGGGAAAAGGGCGAGGGGACGACCTGCCCCGGCCTCTGGCTGGTCGGCTGGGCCCTGGGCTGGGCCGCTCTGTGCCAGGGGGCTGGAGCGCTCCTGAGTGCAGGCTCCATCCCGGCCCCGGAGCAGAGGGAATTCTGGCCACGGGTCAGAGCTAAAGGTGCCAGGTGACCCCAGGGGTGTCCCGGCCGGCAGGCGCTGAGCGTTACAGCCGGAGCAGTGCATACGAACGAGCCGCTGATGAACAGGGCCAGCGTGCGCAGGTGGAGCGGCTGATGGGCTCATCGCAGCTGCCCGGGAGAGAAACCAGCCTGCGGGGAGGTGCCCTGGGCCTTGGCCAACCCATGGGCTTGGTTCTCGTCCTCAGGGCGCAGGAGAACAGCAGGATTCGCCTGGCAGCCCCAAGGAGCAGCCATCTCCAAACCCTGCCCCCGCCCGCAGGGCAGAGGGGGTTCCTTGTACAGCGCCAATCACGGCTAGAGCCCCCCAGGCCCAGCACAGTGGGGGTGGCTGTGGGTCAGCATCACGGGGGGGGGCCCAGAACTGGACCGGCATCGGCTCAGCTGGAGGGGGGAAGCCCAGGGCTGGAGTAGCTGGAGAGCTATGGGTCACAGCGAGAGGCATTGGCAGAGCTGGGGGGGGGGCCCCGGGGCTGGGGG